AAAAAAATAACACAAAAAACCTACTGTGTTACTGTGTGCCTTTCTACAGCTAATGATCTTAGTTGCTGGGCTTAATAATAAAAAAAAAAAACAAAACAAAACAAAAACAAGTTAATGGAATTTGAGAATATAACAAAATAAGCATACACATTTGTTTATTCGAGTTCGTGTATTTATATGTTTAGATATTAGATTGTGTATTAGTGTAATATTATAATAATGACTCTTGCCAAGGTGACCCACTGACGCTGTATATTTATGAGATGGCGAGTTTGAATACGTTGCTGTATAAATCTATAACTGTTTTTTTTACCTGCAGCGAATAATATAACTTATTAATAATAAAAGCCATGAAAAAACGGTGTTAATTAATAAACACGTCTACAGTATAAAATCAAAGGCCTAAAACAAATTACCGTCATGACCTTTTATAAATCCACAATAATCGACCGAATTTTTAATGTATTCGTCAATAGTTTCTAAATGAACCGTATTGTAATAATAGACTACTTTTTACTTTTCAATATACAACTACACAGATGTTGAATATAGTTGATTGTAGACTTATGAAAAACTATATTTTACATGTATATTATTATTACCAATTTTCGTTGGATAAAATAAATAAATTAATAATTTCAATTGCATATTGTTTTAGATTTTTATAACTGTATTTTATGTGTTTTGATCAAAATAACTGTGTTGATAAATCTGTGTCTTTTACATATTATTACTAACACTATACCTTAAAAATTTCAAAAAAAAAAAAAAATGAACTAGTAATGTCTATAAGAAATAATCTATAATTTTCTATATTTTGATTTTAGTTAGGTAGTAAGGAATTACCTTTTTTTTATTATTATTAACTGTTTAAATATCTTACATTTGATAATATAATTTTTCAAAATAAAACCTACACGCATTTTTAAACTACACGAAAAATACATTTTTTTTCAATGATTTTCTCGGCATCTGTATATGTTTAAAAAGGTTTCGACAAATAAAATAACTGATATTAATAATAATTGATTTGTGTATACAAATAGGAATTTTAACACGGATAAAATATTTTATAATTGGTTTAAATGGAAAACCATATACTCCTTACATAATGCATTTATACATTAGATTTTTTTTTTTTTTTAATCAGATTGAGCTAAAAAAGTCATTTTAAAATGTTAAGATAAGATCTACCCATACTATTCTCAGTAAACACCGAACCATATATTAAATTTTATTTTTTAACGCATTCATAATATTCAATAAAAATATCACCAAACATCCCAATGAAAAAATTAAAGTTTTAATTTATATCGAATAATTGTTATTCAATTATTAAATACGTAACTTTTACTTTATAAATATACGATAGTTTGATACTTACTAGAGTTGACGGCTGTCCCGCGGGCTTATCAACACACAATCGCAGTCTTCCGCAGTATAGAGCATAGAAATCTGTATTTTTTTTTTTCGCTTATTAATGTCCCCTATAGTTCCGCGTAGTCCGTGTAGGTAATGCAATGTATCCTAATTTTATTATGAATTACGAACGGTGCGCCACTAATCATATATAGGGTGACTCATTGTTGTTTTGTGGGAGGAATCATAGAACACAATACTCGTTGATCTGGTCAGAGGAAAAAAATTGTCGCGTATACAATTGTCAACTCCGTCCGATCCGTTTGACCTAAACTAGGTAGGCAGGTGTTAACTACGTACCCCGCCCGCTATGAAAATAACACCAATTCGTACGTCGTCAAAACGGGTCACCGTAAATTGCGTACCATTTTTGATTTTTAGTGTAAATTGAGACCAGGGTATATTTCGTATATTATGTAAACTGCGGCCGAGGTATAATTTGTATGAAATCAATTTATTTATTAAATTTAATATTTTCCTTTCCGTTTTTCAGACTTTGACTGGAAATATAATTGTTTTAGTGTTGATACCTATGGTTAAAAATATTGATTTTGCTGCTTTTTGTTTATATATAATTGAAAAATGTGTTATTAACAATTAGTAATCAAGTATTTGGTAAATATGTGTATCATTAAAAATAATTGTAATTAAGAAACTGGTAAAAATGTAGAAGATAATTTTCGCACATGGTCTGAGTCATTTTTTTTTGCTCGCAATTCATACATTTTTTCATGTGTAAATGTTTCTTTTTCAGTCATTTTTATTTTTTTTTTTTTTTTTTGTTTTTTGTTACATCGTAGATTATTAGTTATGACTTATCTTTAAAGTGTAAAGCCGACCGGAAATTGGAATATCCCGGACCGCAATTTACAGATTCTAAACGTAAATGAATCAACGTTCGTATCTACAGGTATACACTATAATTCAATGGTTCCCAATTGTTAAGCTACCACAGACCCCTATCTATAACTTTAATATTGGTTCCGGGGGGAGGGGGGATTTTTGCGTTATTTTTTTATATCCTCTCGTTACCCGTGTCATTTCGTCATAAACCAGTACTCGCGACTTATTCGTACTGTCGAGCACATACAACCATGCCCCTTCTCGCCATATTATAACGTTGATCCGCCGACCACTAATTAGAAACCACTGCGCTAAATATTATAGTAAAGAGGCGGGCACATTAGATCGTGCGGAAAATCATTAAACCCGAAGAATCGACCGTCAATTCAATAACACATACCAGCTATACCTACCTACTCGTACACTGTTTTTTTTTTCGGTTTTCATAGATGCAGCAACTCGTTCGTCCACGAAGGGTGAAGACCATATAATGCTGTGGCTACTGCTGTTCGTGCACCCGATATTTTTATTTCAACACACGGCAGTGGGTATATAATATATATATATATATATATATATATATATATATAATGCTATTTACTGCACGTCTGTTTATAGTGCATATATATCTATAAAAAAATCTTCTCTCTTTTCTGGGGGGGGGGGGAGTTAACCCCAACACCACTACGAGTGACACACGGAAACGGGAAATGTTTGTAAATTGTAGGATATAGGTTATAGTTAAAAACAGTTAAGACTCGATATATGCAATCAGTATTCAAATACATTTATTAAATAGAAACATTATTCTAGACACACGCTTATGTATCATGATAAAATATGATTTTATCATTATTCATTTAATTACAGTTAAATTTAAACAATAACAATATAGTAACTCAAATAAATAATTATGATATGAGAATAAAATCAAATAGGATTACACGTAATAGAAAATGGATACATTTTTTTTTCTTAGTACTTATAATATTTTGTAAATATAATGAAAATCATCTCAAGTGCCCACAAGATTACATAAAATAATAACTCTCTGGAATTCAATTTGATATCGGTGTGCTTTGAACAATAATTAGCCAAATAAGTATTTTATGAATCTAATTCTTACAAATACCACCTCACAACAAATTGAATTCAGCAAACAAAAGTAGATATAATGTGTATAATTTTACCAGTCTTAACACTTAAGTATAAAACTTACACAATATAACGTTTTATACCATGGACAGAAAATGTAATTGTTTTAAAAAGACATGTCCACTGAATCAGATTTAAAATAACATTTACAACTCGAATGTAAAGATACTTATTTAATTAAATATCACACTACGCACGAAAAAACTTATGGAAAAAAAATAAAACAAAAGTGCTAGCATTAAAGTACATCATTTAATATAAACGGGTACTAAAATATTGTAAGTACATTATAAATAATTGTTTAAACAAATACGATGTGGATGATAGCAAAAAACAAAATAATGAATACATAATTTATCGTTACTCGTTTCAATAACTATTGATAAAGAATAAAAATGTTTATTGTATATTTCAATTTTGATGATTTATACCTTATTCGATCTGAATGGTATACAGTAGCTTCTAGGACATTCTTTCTGAAACTTCGGGAAAACAAACTTATTTTATATTTAATAATTAATATCAAAAACTAACAAAGAGTATTAAATAACATATTATGGCAGTTGATATATCAAAAAAATATCAATTAGGTCTGAAATTAATATAATGAAAATAAAAAAACAAAATACTAGTTTGAAAAATCAAATAACATAAATAAACAAAAAATTGAAATAAAATGTTTAAAGCACCATGGGTAGAAATCATCAATAAAATGTTTTTTCAAGTGCTACCATTGATTGTATAACCAGAAAGATTATCCATTAAAAAAAAAAACCTACAATTAAATGAGTAATAATTATCTACATTGTACTGTATGACTTTTAAATTAAAATTCTGAAGAAAAATAAAATGATATATTGCGTTGAATAAAATAGGAATGGAATAATAACATTATCATCAAATTGTTTGAACTTATTTAAATAAAATTATTATAAGGAATAACTGTATGAAATTGACTAATTTTTGTATGTCTAAAATTGACAAACAATATAATTTTGACTTCTTAATTTAAAGAACAATTAGGTATGATTCATTTAGATTTTCAAATAAAATTAACATTTTATTTCTAAAAAATAAAACAGTTTGTATAACATTTGTAATAATAACAATTCTAAAAAACTCAAGTTTAATCAAATCTTAATTGAAAATCAAATTGCTGAAAAAAAACATTTTAAATAATAAATATTTCTTACTAACTACTTTTTGTACTATATGTTACATTATTTTATATACATTCACATAATATAATAAATAATATAAATGCAAATACATTATAAAAAAATATATATTAATATTTAAACTATAACACAACAATATAATTTCATACATTTTTACATACATAAATATTACTTCAACAATCATATTAACAAAATTAAAAATGTTTAAAAAATCAAAGATTTTATTAGTTATAGTGTTCACATTTAAAACAATAAATTCAACAAATAAAATAAAGAAAGTTAAAGTAAAGTTGAACTTTTCTTAGTCGACAAATAGAAATTATTAATTAATGAACTGATATATTTTAATTCTTAATTTTTCAATAAACTACTTTTTTAATTTGTTTTGGATATAATGCGATAGCGCTCAGTTGTAAGGCGGCAATAATACACCAGCATTGTCAAAGCCATATTCGTCACTAACTGCCGCCATATTAAGCTCTTCAAGACTAATTTCATCGCTCACAGCATAATTAACAAGTTGATCACACGAGGATATCAATGAAACTTCTTCCGTGTTCTTATCTTGTTGAAATTGTAAGTTTATTCCTAACATATCATTAACCGAATGATTTTCAAGTGGAATATTATCATCGAATAAATTAGTCATTGGAAAATCATCAAATGGATTAGCTTCATTAAACTGTAGAGGATTACAATTAGAATCATCAATATTTATCAAGTCAGTATTAAACAAATTATTTTCATCAACATCAACATTTTCAAACAAAGTATTAGACGAGCCATCATTATTTTCACTTAATAAATTTGAAAAATCATAAATAAAATCATTTTTTGAGTTATAATTTGAACATTGTGGATTAGAAGTAACTTCTGAATCATTAACTAGAACATCGTTTAATTTACCGAAAACACAAGATGTGGAAATTCCGCTATTATTAGATGGCATTTCAACGTTATTGGTCTCTATCATATTTGTTTGAACATTTACATTTGATTCAATGTTTACTTTTCCAATAGCTTTTTTATTGACATCTACATAATCACTGTTATATTTTTCATCACTAAAATTTTCATGTTTTGAACTCGAAGAACACTTAGGATTTTTGGCATTAACATATAATTCGTACACTTTTGCGAAGCACGGATCATGATATAATATAATTAACACGTTATTAATTGCCGTTTCAACTTTAGTGTCTGTACATTCACCAACAGTATTGATATGAAGAATAATATTTTTCAAAATACTTAGAGCCAATTTATAAAATTTTTCACCTTGAAGGTATTCCTCACAAAACCATCTCACATATATTTCAACAAATTTTGAACAATGTAAAGTATTGCTCTCCTCTATTGGTAATGTAACGCCAGCTTGTAACAGTTTGGATTTGAACTTATTCAAGTTATTACATTCATTCCAAGACTGAAAGATAGAATCATCCGATTTTATAATATTTATCATACTCTGACATATTTTTTCATTAGAACTATTTTTCTTGATACAAAATGATGTTTTTGTTAAATCTAAATGTTCGGTGTTTAATTTTTTCTGGCATATTAGTCGAAAGTTCATCAATATTGACAGATGATGATTGAGTATGGACATTTGCATAATCCAGTGAAAGCTCAGTATTACAAACATCTTTTCCTATCTGATAATTAGGTAAATTTTCAAAAAGAGATTCTTTATTCAATACAATTTTTAAACCAGATTTGCGTAGTAAAACTTTTAATTTTTCGCAGAATTTAGTAATGATATCTCTAACAAAACTAAATAAAATGTTAATAGTTGGACTACTCTCTGGAATAATAATATTAACAATATCTTTACCCAATGGCCAAATTAAAATGTTTTCTATTCCATTAAAGGTGAAAAATTGTTGCAGCAGACCAGTTTCAACTTTTATTGATCTCAATAGTTTATCTATTTCACATATTTTATCATTTTTTAATCCTAAACGGTCCAAATGAAGCTCGTCGCAAAGTGCCATTCTAAAACTACCAAAGTATACAATAACTTGAAACAATCTCGTTCTTGTAGAAGGTTTATACCTTTTCCAATTTATTTTATCAGGGTCAAACTTTGAATTTATAATCCTTACTAACGTTCTTTTTTCTGCTTTAGTTATTCTCAATGAATGTGTAAGTAATTTTTTTTTAAAAATTTTATTTATTTTTGAATAATTTGAACTAATATTATTTTCTTCTAAAGTATTTATAGCTGTTTCTTCTCTTTCTCCTCCTTCTTCGTCGTTACCATAATCATCGTTATCGTCATCGTTGTCGTCGTCATCATCATCATCATCATCATCATCATCATCATCATCGTCGTCGTCGTCGTCGTCGTCGTCATCATCATCATCATCATCTACTTCTTCTCCTTCCTTCTCTTCCTTTTCTACTTCTTCTCTCTTCTTATCCTCCTCTTCTACTTCTTCTTCTTCTGATTTTTTTGTAAAAGTTTCATCCTTTAAAACATCAATAGAAGTTTCTTGTTCTAAGATCACCATAGGAATTTCTTTTACTTTACTCTCAGAAGCTTCGACATCTTGATAATTTGTAACAGACTTCTCCGCTACACTATCGATAGAAATTTCCATATCTTGATTGATTGTGGAATTTCTTTCTTGTTCTAAACTATCCGTGGAAGTTTTAACTTTTTCTAAACAATGACTAGGAGTTTCTTTTTCATTTTCAATGTTATCGTCATCATTAGAATTACATTTTAAATTAACTTCTTTCTCTACTACATCGATGGATACATTTTTTAGTTTATCTTCAGTAGTTTTCGTGCTGTCGTTTTCATCATTCAGAATCAAGGAATCACGAGATCGAACTTCCTTAACCCAATCAATTAAATCTTGTGGAAGTTTTTCAGTCTTATTTTTATCGTTAGCGATAATAGTAGTTGATAAGAAATCAGTAAAGGAAGGAACCATGCAAAATTCATTTAACATATTCTCTATTTTAATGCCAGAATCGTCTAAGCTTAAATCAAAATCATCATTAACCTTATTGAGATCTTTGAAAATAGATAAGTGATTTATTCTAATGCCGTTATGAAAATATGTATTACTTTCTTTTTCATTTGCTAATTTTTCTAAATCTGCTTCATCTATACATTCTCCAGGTTCAAGAATATTTTCATAAGCGTGTCGTAAATCGGATATTTGAGAAAAATTAAGTGTATTGGTTCTTTTCATGCGTTTGTAATCATTAACAAGTTCCATGAATGTTTTTCTAATGGTCGTACCTTTATGATAGAGTCTTAAACGCATTATTTCATCTTCTGGGTATATACAATCCGTCGAAAAATAATTTCTCGAATTATTATAATAATTTATGTGACTTGCCTTTTTCATTAGCCCCCTAAAAATTAGTCTACAAAATTTTTTCATTAGGATAGTGCAGAAATTATTAATTATATAAAAACATCTGATTATCTGTGGTTTCTTAGCAAATCTAGATAAACCTGCATTGCGAATTATTAATCTTCTTAAACTCATGCTATTTATAGTTATATTACGTTTTGTATGTTTAATTAATGAACGTCTCAATCGTCTGTATTCTTTCAAGATAAATAAATCCAATTTATTCTTAGCAAACTCTATTTTGGGTCCCCAAAATTGAATATATTTATTATAACATAAATCAAATAAAAACGTTTTGAGTTCTATAGACATTCGAATACTTCTTTCACGTCCTCTTAAATCATTTGAGCACAATCGATGTAAAGAATCATTATACATTAAATCCAATAGCATTGTAAGTTTACTCATAGATGGCACTCTGAGAAAATCCAAAATAACCCCTGAATTCAATTTTGAATACTGGAATGAACTTTTATAAATGCTATTATAACTAAACCTTTTAAGTTTATGAAAGTTATTACTTGGTTTGCTAGTAAGATGTTCAAAATCAAATGGTCCTATGTATTGACTAAGTCCCTCTTGAAGATCTTCATTTTTTGTTCGCTTGGGGTATCTTTGGTTCAGCCCAAAGGTAGGTTCCTTTGGAGGTTTTCTAGCATACTCCTTTAATCTATCCATATTAATTGGAGGGCCTACATAAACAGAACATGATTTGGTACAAATTTGATCATTGTTCGTTAGTGTAACTGGTTTTGTATCATTTTTGGAATGTTCTCCACGATTACAAAATATGTTCTTCTCTTCGCTATTCAATTTAGACCACATTTTAATGTTTATAATATTTCAAACCTGAAATAAGACATCACTATCAATAATTTATATTCATAATTTATATTTTATAACTTACATAATAAATAAAAATTCTTATTCCTGATTTATAATTCAATTGATTAATAAATAATTTTTTAGTATAGTAGATCATCAACTATGCTAATCTAAGTTATTTTTAAAAATCATGTAGAATTTTAAAATAAGCTAATTACTATAGATTTTAAAGCCAAAAAATATATATAAGATACTTGAATGTAGCATAATACACTATTCTATAATATCCAACATCAAAATAAGTATTTTCAGTAGCTAAAATAAATAAACATATGACATAAACAATATCTTTCTGGTAATTAATAAAAGTACAAGGATTATTTTTTTATTTTTTTTTTTTTTTTTTTGATGCCCCAATAGTTGGTAATATTAACTACCCCTAAAATTAAAATTTTTACTACCCCAAAACGTGATGATGGACAAAAAAAACATATTGTTGTAATATTAAAACAATACTCAGAGATTAAATTTAATTTACTAAAATTTTTAAATTATTGATGACCTCCTATGTATGTGTAATGTCTGTTACAATAAGCCCTACTTTAATCGTAATGTTTTTAAATTCTTTGCAAATATTTTAAAATCTATAAATGTTTATCCAATTGTTATTGATGTTGTATATAAATTTATATACACTTGGTTTTTGTTTGAAAATTAAAATATGATAATAATTCACAGTATTTTCAATATGGTATTTACTTAATATAGTATTTAAATAAATGCTTTTAAAAAAAATTAAAAAAATTAAGTTTTTAATTGTGTTAATTACTCATATATTAAAAACTGAAAGATTATTAATCATAGCTTATTTTATATGCCTAGTTTTAGTAGAATTCTTGACTACAAGAAGTAGTTAATAACCAAAATAATTATTTTATACATAATTGATAATTAGATTAATTTAAATTTTAAAATAATACTATTTCCAAAACTTTTGTAGACAGAAGAAAGTAGAAAAAGAAATAACCAATTATCAAATCTATAATTCTCAATAAATTATAATAACTAGTGGATTAAAATTAAAATAAATTTTTATATAAAAAAAAAAAGAATACTTAAATTAATTTAATTCTGAGTAAATTTAAACATTCATTTATTATAATAAAAATTAATTATTATAAGATATAACTTACCAGTTTAAAATATCTGCACGTTAGATTGGGAATTAAATGGTATTCTGAAAATCAAAAAAAATACATAATAATTCAATAATTGTATAATATAACATTAAATATAATAATATGATATATTATTACATATTAAACTAATATATTTAACTAATTATATATTAAGTACTCATTTATTGTATAAACTGTATCATATTTTTTAATAACGTACACTTTGTATAAAATATGAAAATTACGCATTGGCCAAACAAAATAATTGAATCATAAATTAATAAAATAAATACAGTGGAAGTCATTGCTGCTGTGCTATAAAATAAAAGTCGAGTGAACATCCTCAAAGTTACTTAGATCATTGTAATATATACCCACACATTAGAAAGCTAGAAAACTGGCCAGGTTTTAAGCAATAAAAATTAATAAACTATTTTTAATCGTGAAAATAGAAGTTTAAGGACTAAAGATAAGATTTTTTTCATTAAAATAACATTATAAGTCTTATTCAATTACTTATCACTTGAAAAAGAAAATACACTTGACACAATTTTATTTATGTATCACTACTTTCAAATGCTGACATTTTTGTGAGGTGAAATTTAACTTTTTTCTAGAACTATTTATAACTGTGGTATTTTTGATGAAAAGATAATTACATTTTGTGAGTTTCATAATCATAGGCATTATTAAAAGCTAAATATTGTATGGATTATGACTTAAATTTTCTATTAATAGTTAGAAAAATAAATAAAAAATTGAGGAAAATTTGAATTGTTGAAAAAAATTGATTTTATACTTTGTTGTAATCAAAACTGAATGACCATAAATACTGCAATTTTAATCTTCGAATGACTCGTATACTTTAAAAGATATCTAAACAGTTACGAGTATTTAGCTAACGAAAATGAATGAAAGGTTAAAAATAAATAACAGTGTAAATCTATTTATAATCAAAAATTAAGATTCCTTAAATTTGTATTTTTTTTTTTATTATGTCTATATATATTGCATTACTATTATAATTATGAAATGTTTCGCATTTCTGTATCAAGTAACAAAAAGTAAAAATCAAAAGTCAAGACATATTTTTAGTTAATATAAAATATTAATACCTATATACCTATATTTATTTATTTTTTGTAATGTATTGAATTGTGTTGTATTAAAGCATACAGTAACATATTTATCATTTTTAAGATATTATATTTTTTAGTGTTGATTGTTACCTATGTAATAATATGTACACATTGTTCTTATGAAAGTACATAATCTATTTATATCTATTGATATATATATTTATAAATTAATCCCTATTTCCCTTAGTCACGACATCACGCGTAAACGCCTGGACCAATTTTGCTAATTCTTTTTTGTTGTTTTTGTTATTTTTAACAGGTTTTTATAAAGGAAAAATTAAGAAAGTGGAGCGGAAAATTATACCTTGTCCCGCAAAAGATCATGAAGTGTAAAATGAAAACTAGTCGACTCTTTGCATATCTCACCAAATTCTTGTTAAATTTAGATGCACGGAGAGGATACGACCGTGCAGGCAATTAAAAGTATTTTATTTTACATGCGTAAATTCAGCTTGATCTCTAGTGGGACAAAGTAGTTATTTAATTAAAATAAACTTGTAAACCTCAGGTTTTCAGCTACCTGCACGGCTGCACCTGACCTCATTGTCTGTCAAATTCAGTGACGTACGCAAAGCTAAGATTCTATGGTCTTAACCTCCCTCTCCACCGAAATTTCTTCATTTTCCAAAATATTTTTAATATTTTATTATTTATGGACTATGGTTTTTTGAACAAAATTTATTATAAATCAAATATTAAAATATTAACAAATAAAATTTATAAAATTATTACTTTTAAAACAATATGAATATTGTTTAGTTATTTTATTATTTTGTTAAAAGTATATATTATAGGATATGTTATTATCAAATATTTTAAAGGTAGATAATTAATACAAAAATAGCAATTTTAAAGAATTATTTTGTGTTATAAAATATTTGTGATATTTACTAGTTAAGCTATAGAACATTGGAAGGGAGCATCTTCACGATGAATTCATTTCAACCCAATTATTAATTAAAAATCTAAAAACTCTATTAAAGACTAGACGATAAACAATTGTAAATCACGAAAATAAAACAGTAAAAATTAGAAAAAAACATTTTTAACCATACCCGTACTAAATAGATGATATTAGACAGGACTGAGTCATTAAAAATAGGGATAAATATGTTTCAGCAGACTTTTTAACAAGGGATCAAACTAGTACAACAGGCTTTTTTACACAGGACCAATTGGTAAGCAATTTAAATCTGTGATCTAGCCGATTATATTGATATGAAATAGCTAATTTATCATTTCTTAGTGCACAATTTACAGTCGATTCAATCGGATAATTAATAAAAAATTGTACCGAGAGTTTTTTGATAAGTATTTATAGCATCAATCTTGAAAATACATGTTTTTCACATAGAAAATTGTAAGTCACCTGTTCCCGTGTCGGACAAGGGTGTGGTACAATCAGACGACAGACATTTGGCTGACACGCAATAGGCCGACACGCATTAGGCTGACATTTAAAATGGCTTACAACGACATGGTTAACGAATCAACTGAAACAGTATTTATGAACTTGCAATACCCACTGTAGATTCGGACATGGACGTTTTGGCGCTAACTAACCTAATAGAGTTTATATCAAAAATGTACCTAAAAAATTATTACAAGATAAAGTAATAATGTATATTGTATATCGATAACGTATATTTAACGTATAGGCTATTTAATAAAATATATATTATAAATAGGGCTGGGATTATAAATTATCTAATTTATCGGCGAGATTACGGTGTATAATTTAATTTAGATTCTAGATCTAGAATTTCCACCACTTTTAACTGTAATGCATTGTTACTTTTTTTTTTTTTTACTAGTGGTATTCGTGCAAGTAATCGGGTGCTATGAAATGGAAATAGATTTTATGGCCCTAATCGCGACTCCTCTTCCCTAGGGTCAATGGCCCCCTACAATACGTTATTTTAAGATCAATTGTCCGATATTAAGCTTTGATTAGTAGGTCAACGGCCAGTTACCACCAAAACCAGTAATCACCAAAACTATTCATATACGCGCCAGAAAATAAAACTAAAAATGTTGTGTATCATAGAGGATTAGAATACTAAACACTATGTTTTTGGAATAATAATTTTTTTTTTCTAATTATACCTCTTCAAATTCTATATTCATAGTTAGAACGTCTGTCGAGTCAGCTAGTATATAAATAAATATAAAAATAAATATTTATTTCAAAATTATTTTTAGTATTTGTTATTTTATGGAATAATTTGTTCTTTATACCTATGGACGTCAATTCATATATATATATATATATATATATATTATTATTATTATTATTATTCATATCATATATTTTAATTTCAGATATTTGATGAATATTAAAAGAATTATTTCAGATAACAAATGAATATTACTTAATATGTGATATAAATAATAGTAAAACAATTTTATACAAATTAATAACAATAAATATTTAAGTATTCATTTCCCATTTAATTTCAACAATTGAATAATATTAACCAAATGATATAATCGATATGATGAATATTACTTTTTGATTGTTTATTAAACGTTGAACGTTGGATAAGTAAGATATTGGTAAGGTATCTTAGATACTCATAAGCCAAGTATAAGTGGCTCATTTTGCTTTTTTGGAAATTAATAATAATGGTATATTCAAGTGAGTAATCGTGTAAAAGAATATTAATATGAAATTTAAAATATTTACGCTGCAAATATTCTCAATTTAAAAATTATAATACAATTTGTCGTTGAGGATTCTAGACAACGAGACTCAGTGGCGTAGCCAGGGGGGCTGAGGGTACTGCATATTATTGAACTAAACTTTTTTTGTCTTATGACCTTTTTTTTAGGTAAACCACCGATGTGTAAAAATCCCCCCCTCCGAAAAAAATCCTGGCTACGCCACTAGCAAGACTATATTTATATATTACTCGAACAAATAGTAATATCAAGGGTCCTCATTACACAAATGAGTTTTATTATTCCACCAAATCGCTACAATTAAAGATAAAATGATACGTTACTAACAGCCATATGCAACGGCTGGCAAAAATATATTCGGTACCTAAACACCCTAAACAGAAGAATCATAATCAACTGTAAAAAGGTATTACATTCAATTCTAAATATTTACATAGTGTGTATGTTACAGTTGTTTATATTATTATCACTTTGAAAATAAATTTGAAATATCTTCATCAAATTTATTTCAAAAATGTAAACGGGCTAAGCCTAGTATACAATAAAGATAACAAATAACCATATTGGTTAATTACAAAGTATTTATCATACATCTTAAAATAATATGACGATGGATATCCAGCAATCCAGCATAGACAAAAATACCAATAAACTATATACAACGCGTTCTACTTCGTCCTGCCTACATAGTTAGATGAATACGTAACTATAACACGTAAAAATACAAAGTAACAAGTGAGTTATGAAGGAATTCCTAGATCTTTTCGTTTTCGATATCAACTATAAATATAATATTATTATGTCCATAAATATAATATGTTATTAACATTATTAATTTATCATAAATAATAAAATTTTAACGAATGTACAATTTTTTTTGTTTTTTATCTGATGGTTTTAAAAAGTACTAAGAATTTTCTACATTTAATCCACCGAATATAACAAATTCCAGAAGGTAGGCTAAATATTTTTTTTTTTATATTGTGTTTAATTCTCCTATAAGTAAATAGATGTATTAATTTATACACCTAAATTTTTAAAATTATTTTTTCAAAAATTAGCTAACAAATTTTTAAAGTTTATAATACTGAAGATTAACCAATCACATACGTTTAATCTACTTATTTTGTACACCATTTGATGAAACAAAACTTAAAATTAAAAAACTTGAGTAGCTATTGTCAGGCCTGATTTTTTAATCTGCGATTATGTTGCGAAATGTGGAATAGGAAACGTAACTTAAATCACAGATTCTTTTATTAAGTTCGATAATCATAAATTATATCATAAGTAGGCAAGTTCTTCCCTTTAAATCATTAAGTTATAAAATACTCAACTATAATGATAGTTGTAATATTAAATTTAATATTGTGTAGACTGAAGGAAAAAAATGTAATAATTTTTATAAACTGTTAGTTATATTATCTAAATAATTTAATTGTAAATAAAAAATGGCATTTGGGGCACGTCTTATTTTTCGTGAAATGCAATTTAAATGCACCTAACATCGCATTGTATGTATTCGGTATGTTGTAATTAAATGATTTAAAATAAAAAATAATTTTTAATAAAATTATAAATTTATATAATTAGGTACCTATCTTATTGATAATTTTTATTCAGTTCGGACCACAATATTATTTTACAATACATATTATGAAACAACATTTTTAGTTGCTTACCTGCAAAGGCAGACAGATGGTTCGGTGAATGACCGGTGCAAGCAAGTACCGGAAAATGTTCAAAGTGCACAAGAGAGAATAGTCTTCCTGGACGGACATTGATGCATCACAAACGGAAAGAGAGATGATAGTCAAAAACACTCACTAATGTAAACACGCAAAATTATTAATGAACGTAACAAAAACACACTAAAAAATAATTAACACAATTGCAATGAGAAACAACGTGAACGGGAGATCGGCACAATTAATGTTGACAATGTTAAAAGACAACTTTAGGCAAGCTAACAATGACGACTAAGACAATTAGAAACAACAGAAGACGTCAAGCACCCAACCGTTCAGTACTACAGTATGACAGCGATCAGCGAATCCAACGGTGGCCGACCACCAAGACACAAACAGCTGTTGGCGAACGACGCGCCCACTAGTGTGGACGGACGGCTTGTAAACAGTGCAGCCAATCTCGGTTGGTCCCATAATCACGGTATGCATGGTAGCCGGTTCCTCATCGGTAACTACTACTGCAAATGACAACAACGATAACAGAACAAATGTTTTCGTTACTGATTACGTCATGAGATATGACTACTGACTAGCAATCGATGACTTTCAAAAATAAAATCTTAAAATTGAAACTGTTGATTGTTCTATCCCGGTTTTACTTCTCATAATTTGTTGAAATACAAAAAAAAAGGTATTTTATTTAAAATATCTTTTAAATACATTATCATCCTAACTTTTTTCATTAGACAGCAAAAATATAAAAACCAGTAAAATTTAATGTAATGAAATAGTCAAATAAGTTTTAAACTCAACAAGAATACTATTTGTTATTATAACTGACAACTTAAACAAAATCTGTGTTTACATTATTTCAAAATTTAGGCAGAACACAGTATAAACAATTAGACTATTCAATTATGTATGATTAACTGTTTAAACTTTTTAATATTGTAAAAAATGTGAATTGTTTCTTACTTTCTCTAATTGGATTTAGATAGTTGCCTAATACTAAATTAACAAATACAAATGGTAATAATTTTGTCTTATTGTTTTATATATTTTTCTTTTCATTCTTATATCTACTATTAAATTGCCAATCTATAATTTGTTCAGATTGTTGAAACAAATATTTAAGTGTGACACGTGTCCGATTTAATCACTGAATGACCTCCATTGAAGTATTAAAATTTTTCATATTTTAAAATTTTAGTAAGTGTACTAGTAAGTTAATATAAATAAATATTTCTAGTTCCTGTTACAAATATTTTTCAATTATTTTTATAACTTAAAAAATGATTTCAGAAGTAGCCTTGATACTGCCTTTGTAAGTGTAGTACATTCAATTTAATGTATCTTTGGACGTATGTTTGTCAATCAGTTCCAAGACATTAATTTCTAAAAAAAATTTGTGATATATTCAACTTTATATTGAACACACCTTCCTTCAATGTAGTCAAATGACTTCTATTTTTATATTTTGCATTAAAAAAATAATAGTCAATAAATATGCATTCATCTATATTTATCTATATTAAACTATTCTAGAAGATTATGAAATTTTTTTGGAAACATGATATTTGTAACTTCTAAGTTAAATTTAATTTTAGTTATTTTATTAAAGTCATCATTGTTTTCAGTTATTTCAGATAATTATAATAAAAGGATTTTTAGTCATTTAATTAAAATAAGTTTGTTTCTTAACATTCTTCAGTGTTCAACTTCTCAGTTAAAATAACATTTCTATGTTTACTAAATAAATATCACCTTAAACTAAATAATGCAATTTTATAATGAGTTATACTAAAAATATAAGCTTCATCATTAATTTTCTAATTTGTGTACCTATATTTAAAATATAATTATATACATTTATTGTTTGTGCTACCACTAAAAATATTTTCTATTACGTCCTGATTTAATTTTTAAATTATAATTTATTGGATTCCTTTTTTAAGTGATGAATTCTCATGTTTTGTATAAAAATTACTGTTTTATTCAATAGCACGTTTGACTGAATTCATTTCATAATTTATTTGAAATACATTAAAAAATCAAATCAATCAATGAATAAAAATATAATTTTTACTACCTATTTTACAAATAAAAGAAAATAGTCATAAATAACTATGAAAAATACGATAATAATTATTACAACTTATTAAATTGACATTTTTCCAGTAGAACTTTTTCATATATGTTCACCACAAGCAGCAATTGTTTTAGAGACCAAATTGAAAACTCTACAGTTAGTCTAACATTAACTAGTCCTGATTTTTATTTAAAATCATGTGTTTTGTTTAACTTAAAAATTCTTAAAATAACATATTCTTGCTAATATATATATAATTTTATTTTTATTTGAATGTTTAAATTTCTAAAAAATAAATTATTTCTTATTAAGTAAATTGTTTATTGTAAAATCCAAAAGTTGTCAGCAAATAGTACCTGCCATTTTCTAAACATTTGTTTAAGTGATGTACTAATAGTAGATACATTTAAACTATTTTAATATATTAATAATTACCAAAAATATTATTCACCATTGTATCATGTCCAATGTTATATAACTGTTTAATACTAATAAGTAATATATCCTTGGTCATTGTAGTTAATTAGTTGTTTTCAATTATTATTTACTAGAACTTTCAGAAAAAAAAACGATTCTAGTCAAATAAAATAAAATATGTATTTCAAGTAATACAGACTTTAAGCAACTACTTTTTCACAAGTCACAAAAGACCCATAACTTAAAATATCTATATCTTTATTTACATTTTAAATTGTAATTATTTTAAAATTTCAATATCATAATATATACTATATATTATATACATAGATTATAAAGTATGAGTACTGCATGGTTATATATTTTATGAACAATATTCTCTCTCTCTCCCAGAGCAAAAAACCAAAGCCACCATTTTTGGAATGTATTTCATAACACATTAAACTAGATATGATTACCTAATTAAACAATAATCTAATCATATTTTTTACGAATATTAAATATTATCAACATTTAAATTAATAGTATGTAGTAGATGTGTATTTGAGTAAAAGCTGAAGGTCATAAGAATTATACTCTGTATAGTGATGTTTTTGCATTGAATAGATATTGCAAATTAATTTCTGATTAAATGAAACTAAAGTTGACGCATTGCTATTGACTTCTGTGAATAAAGAAGTTGATTAAGTTCCTGTAAAAATAAAGAATTAAATTTAGTTAAGCAAAAAAATTCAAATAGTCAAATTCAATTGGATTAGTTACAGTATGGTATTTTTATTAGTCCTCATTGGACTTAATTATTTATTTTTTAAGTATACACCATGATTTATGGACTTAATTTTGGGTCGTGTATTTTACTTAGATCCTCTAAGTTCACAATCAAGAGATTTGTATAGCTGTACTAATCTGATTTTAAAAAAATGTTGTTTTTTAATATATGATAATGAATGATGAAAAAACAAAATATGTACTCTACAAGATTGTTACTAGAAAACAGAGTAATCTTTACAGAATGAAGTTGTGGAGTGATGTATTATTGTAACACATAAAATCCAAAATTTATTATCTTACTTAGCTTATCAAAGAAAGATTGAAGTTAATGTGAGTACTTAAAAAATACATTGCATCTACATTATTTATTGTACTTTGTCATCAACAGTAAATTATGTATTACGTGTGCACAAAATAATAATGTAAACTTTTTTTAATTAAATACCAAAGTAACAGTGAAAATTTTATTAAGTATGTGTAGGTGTACCCCACAAGTTATGTTTAATCTTCTAGGAAGGTTTTTGGTATAAAATTGAATCTTATTATACTTTGAGGAGTCAAAATTAGTTATTTCTCAGATACTTTACTGTAAGGTTTTTACAAAACAATAAGAAGAAAAAACTTAAATGGTGAGCAAGTGAGAACCACTTGGTTGTACATTAAATAACGAGTGGGTCACTGTAATGAATACCCAAGTTAAATTTGAATTCAATGATATATTGATATATCATTGTACATAAAATAAATTATGAGACGGTCTTTTAGCTTATATCATTATAGACACATTTCTTGAAATGGTTTTTGATATATCTGTTAAAGTAAAAAACTTTACTATTAGTACTCGTATTACCACTATTACCATAGAAAATATTTATACCATATTATATTATTAAGGTATCCTCAAAAGAAATTTGGAAATTTGCTATTTTTTCAGTCAGTGCGGTTTTGAATCTTTTTTTACATTAATTGACTTAGTGAGATATAAAATTAATAAATATTGTGATATTAAATTTCTTAAAATGCATTTCATAGCTTGTTTTAAATAGTTTTGTTCAATGGAATTTTTTGAATATAATGAACAGACATTTTATACACTAGCAAACGTCTATGGTAGTATAATGCATTTAACTGAAATAATTTATAAATTTATACTTGATAGTTTTCTTTGTACTTTTGCAAAACAACTTTTTTTTAATAAATCTGTTTAAAAATAAAATTTATAATTATTAGTTTACAGTGTTTAATGTTTATACATTAACTTGAGCACATCTCAAATAAGAGGTCATTAGACTAGATGTTTCTACATTGTCAAACTTGACATACATTTTTAATAATTAAAAAATACATAAAAAAATATAAAACTCTAAGCATTTTAGTTTTAAAACTATTTACCCTAACTGAAGATGAACTAGATTTAATAGATGCAGAAGTATAAATAGTCAGACGAATTAAAAGTGTCATAAAGCTTCTTTTTACTAAAATATTGTTGTCATTGAATGGTCAATAATTAAAATTATTAAATAGTAAATTATAAAAATATGAATAAAATTATTAGTTTTTTAATCAATAAAATATTTGATATTTGATTTTATTTTGCATCATAATGTTAAAGAGTTATCAATGCAAATAACAATTCTAGTGATTATGTACCTAGCTAGTAGCTAGTTATGAGATGTTTAAGTCAGATTTAGCAATGGTTAATATAAGGTTACAAACATTCAACAAGTATATCACGTTATGTTGGTCCATCCATAATCCATCCTGCACAATAATTTTTTTTATATATATTATATACATTTTCCTTCATTAATAAAATATGTACTATTAACCACTATTGAAATATTGTGAGTCAACTAAGTTCCAAAAGGTTATAATATCAGATTTGTTCTTAATTATTTTTGATTTGTCACACAAAAAAAAATTTAGCATTATGACCATCTCCAGTGTTTACTCGCACAACTGAATAATTTAAAAACAGATATATGGCAACAATAATAACTAATAATGATTTGCGATCAGAGAATCTAGACAGCGAATAATATTATTAGAAAATTAGAGCTAGGATTTAAATGACCTAAAAATACAATTAAATGCACTAAAAATAATGCTAAAATTATCTAAAAAGTCTAAAAGATAAACTTAAAAAGACCAAAAAATGTACTTCGATGAGCGAAAAAAAT